AAGGAAGGGAAGGAAGGAAGGAAGGAAGGAAGGGGGAAAGAGAGAGAGATTAAGAATGCTGAATTTTGGATTTTTGGTGAGGTGCCCTTTCTTTTTTGCTGCTCACATGCACAGCCAGCTGTCACTGCCACCTCCAGTATTCAGACAGATCATACCAGGACCTCAGCAAGGCCCACTTCAAAATCTAGAGGCAATTTGAATCTGGAGGAACTCCAGCACTCTTACGAGGTCCCTCTGCGGGCAGATCCCCTCCATTCATTGCAACATAGGCACAAAGTGGCCTCAGCTTTAAATCAAAGTCTCCACCTCTGTTTTGCAGCCCCGTCAGCAGAGATCTAAGGCTCCTGTGTCTCCGAGCAGAAACAGACAGGCCACCAGCTTTGCGATTAGAAGCAGAGTCAGTCTTTTCTCCTACCATGAGATTTTGCAGCTTCACACTTTTGCAAATTAGCTCACTGCTTGTTTAGTGGCTGGACATCTGGAGATAATCACTGGATTCCTTTGCCAGTTGGTTGTGCAAAGACGGATAACTTTGAAAAAAAGGCATTTCAAGAGGAATCATGTTTTATCGCCCTCTGATTGCAAAGCTGACATCTCATCTGTTTCTGCCCTAGGTGAAGCACACCATAAAGAAAGACAGCTTTGTAGTCTCGAAGGCTTTCGCAGCTGGGATCCGATGGTTGTTGTAGGTTTTTCAGGCTGTTCTAGCTCTCATCCTCTGAAGATGCTGGCCACAGAGACTGGCGAAATGTTTGGAGGAAAAACCTCCAGAAACACAGCCAAACAGCCTGAAAAACCTACAACAAACACAGCTTTCTTTATTTAGGACCCAGAAATGGTTACAGGCTCTTTTCCATCCCTTTCATTTTGTCTGTAATGTTCAGGCATAGTCAACCATTTTTTAAAATAAAACGCAACATTTCAGGGAGCGTCTTATGGAGCAGATGCTGTCAGTGAAGGTTGGTGACTGGGATTCCATGAATCCGTTTCGGATTTTAGTCTGAACTTTAAGGCAATGTCCCAGGAGCCGAACGCCTTCCCCAGAAATGTCACCAAGCTACCAAGTGCTGAAGGAATGGGTTGCTTTCTCCTTTATTCCTTTTGGCCTGTCATCTGGTACTTAATGTGGAAGATTCACTGCCAGTAGTTATAAGTGGGGAATAAATTTAAAACTGCTGAAGAACTGTGAAAGCATTTTTTGGAATGACTCCATTTGCAACCTCTCAAAAGCTGAGATCAGTCTCCTTGGGAGATTCGGGGAAGAATTCAGTTCCTCGGCGTTGACTTTTCTTCTAATTTCTTCTTTTCTTAGGAGGACAAGAAGACTGTATTCTCTCGTACGAACCCGTGACCAGGCAAGAAAGTAAGCAAACTCTGATCCTCTACTAAATAAGCTTGGACTAACCAAAGGCCCGGCCTATTTCAGCAGCTGAATGAAGCAGTAAAGTCCTGAGATGGTTGATGGGACTACCCTTTCACAGTGTCAGTGGATGATGTCATTAACCAAAGAGCCACCACCTCCCATGGAAATAATAGCCTGGCAAGGATAAACTACGCTATCCTTGATTTCTGCTTGCAGGAAATTTTTGAGTGAGGGGGAGGATTTTAAAACATGACTGCCTTCCAACACCTGCAGTCTAATGCGATGCAGTCTACTCTCCCTGATTTGGTTATTATCAACTTAAGGATCTGCTGGATAGCTGTGTGGTTTAGGCATCTAAGGGACTGAGGGTTCAAGTCCCCACTCTGCCTCCTTGACAAAGGCTGTACTCAGTGATCCATAGGACCCATTCCAGCTTGGCAGTTCTAAGATTATTTTATTATTCTGGATGTATAGGGCCAGTTTCCAGCCTGGCCCGTGTGTGTGTGTGTGTGTGTGTGTGTGTGTGTGTGTGTGTGTGTGTGTGTGTGTGTGGGTGTGTGTGTGTGTGTGTGAATGAATGAATGAATGAATGAATGAATGAATGAATGAATGAGTGAGTGAGTGAGTGAGTGAGTGAGTGAAAATATATTCATTCATTCTTTCATTCATTCATTCATTCAAAATACGTATACCTCTCCTTTCTCCTCAAAAAGGACCCAAGGTGGTTTACAATAATAAAGCAAACAGTATTAAAAACTATTAAAATAAACAATAAATTAAATGTTCCAAATACAGTATAGGAAATGAAAGTGATGGAATGGACTACACCCTTTCAGATATCAGGTGGGAAATGCCTTTATTTGGGGGGGAAAAAACCCTCATTATTTTAAAAACAGCAATCTGGTACTAGAAAACTGACCCATCAGAGAGAAGGGTTCTAGACTCTTATTTATTAATTAATTATTACAAATATTTTTATCCAGCCTTTCTCCTTAAAAAGGACCCAAGGCGGCTTACATCACTGAGAGACAATATTTAAAGCTAAAAACAAAGAGTATAAAAAGGCAGCTTGCATCAATTAAAATACAATATTAAAGCAAGAAACGATATGTCTACAAATATTAAAAAGGAACAAATACCACTCTGAGAAATGGTGAACACAAGCAGTACTCAAATAATTGTATATAAATAAGAAAATCCAAGAGCACTGAAAACTTAAGATGGTGTACTCCATTTTCACAGCATGCTTCTCTGCTGCATGTCTAGCCTAAGTCTAAAAAATTGGATGTGCATGTATCGCCTTCAGACCAGTTTCCCCAACATGGCTACCCCGGTCTTCCTTAAGAGTGTAAGGAGAAGAGGCATTTGAAATAAAAGTGGCAAAGAACTGTCTTGCTGTGTCGTAATGAAGATTACATAGTCCAGCATTTTCTTCTCCTTCAGAATCTCCCAGCCTAGAACTTGAAAAATGAGTGTAATGATCACCTCTCACTGTCAGCCACCCAAACCAGTGGCCATCATACTTTTCAGCTGCTGAAACTCTAAGCCTTGGTTTATTTTTACTAGAAGTTTTAGGTGTAGGCCTGTCTTTGCTCTTTTCTCAAAAGTTACCCCTTGAAACATCATCCTCAGGAGCTACCTTCCCTTTCTGCTTTTCAGTTAATTACACCAGGCCGGTTATTATCCTTGGTCCAATGAAAGATCGGATTAACGATGACTTGATATCAGAATTCCCAGACAAATTCGGCTCCTGTGTACCGCGTAAGTGTTTGGAGGCATCTTGGTGTTTTGTTTTGTTTTTTAAAAAAAAAAATATTTTATTTATTTATTTTTTGCTTGGAGTGATCTCTCATTATCGCTGCTGCCTTTATCGGGACACCTTGAAAACTAGCATCTCTTTTGATGACATGCTGATGTAACTCTCAGAGCCAGGGCTTGGAAGGGTGCAGGCATGCTTTAGAGATCTAGGGGCTGCACGTGGCCATCCCTAGACCTCAAAAACGTATCCCTTCCTATCGCCACTCCTTCCAAAAATTATCTCACAAAACTGTGTTTTTAGCAGCCCAAAACCACTTTTTCGCCCTCTAGTGGCCAAAAAAAATAATAATAAAATAAAACTCCCTTTGGGTGTTGTGGGGGGCTAGGGTTTTGGGAGCTCCTCAAAATATGATCCTCCATTGCCTAGAAGAAAGGGACTTTACTGGGAAGACAGACATGTGGGGAGGGTTTCTTTGGGTGAATAGGGAGGGGGCACATGAGGCCTATGAATGGCATTTTACCCACCCAAGTAAAAGACCAATATGATGGGAAACATATTTTGTGGTGCAAAGGTCCCAATTTCAATCCTCAGCATCTTCAGGAAGGTCAGTAAAAGCGAAGTGTGCTGCACAAATTCTAATCCTGAGCTCTATGAACCAATTCTTCCACAATCCTATTTCAATAATGCCCAAACTTGGTTACAGTGCTCAAGTTTCATATCCAGCTATAAACCTATGTTATGAACTAATCGTAAAGACAATTGCCTCTAAAGATATGCTGAGTCCATTTCCATTATTACAAAGTTAGCCTAATCCAGAGCTTGGAAAAGTTACTCAGGTAACATTCTCAGATTCCTCTCCTCAGCATGAGAGTGATGGAAGTTACCTACTAAGGAAGTACGTATTCCCAGAGAATCTTGATATAAAAGCAGATCCAATGTATGTTTGCATGTTTGGCTACCAGCTCTGGATCTGGGGAAGCTTTTTTGGTTTCTAGCGATGCATTGACAACCTACATACAGTGGGAAGCTGATGAATAGTTTGATCTTTGATAGTGGCCAACATCTGGCCGATGAATAGTTCTGTGTCCCTGCTGGACTCCTAAATGCAAACTGAATCGTACATCTTTATTGGCTCCTCTTCTTGTTATGGTTGTTCTATGTTCTGCTGATTCTCTATTATTCTGTATGCTATTCCTGTTAGTAAAGTATGAGATGAAGACTTTGAATTGAGAAGCCAGGAAATAGATGTACTGACTGGTTGCCTTTTTGCCTGGGAACCTTTGCAGGCGGGACCTCTTTTTAACTTCCCTATTTTGTTATCCAAAGATACAACTCGGCCGAAGCGGGATTATGAAGTGGATGGGAGAGATTACCATTTTGTCATCTCTAGAGAGCAAATGGAGAAGGACATTCAAGAACACAAATTCATAGAAGCGGGACAGTATAACGATAACCTCTATGGGACTAGTGTACAGTCTGTTCGGTTTGTGGCAGAAAGGGTAAGTTGGCCAAAAGATATAGGGGCAGGCATGGTATAGGCAGGGCCAGATTTTACTAAACTGTTATTTCACATTCCGCTGATTATTTTACTTTCAGTTTTGGTGAGAACTAAAAACCATGTGAATGGTCTTTTTGGACATGTTTGATTCTGTGATGAACGTATGGAAAATTGGAAAAGGACTGTATCCAGAGTGATTTGTCGCTTAATAACATTCTTGACGGCCCCTTCCAGGACGCTCTCGTCCCCTGCCAGCCTTGCTTGCACACACCTAAACACACATACATACCCCTGAGATTTGAAATGATGTTGTCCCAATTTCCAGAGAAGTAGCAGCGGGTGGGTTGTCTGTCTCGGCACCCTGGGGAAACGAAAAGGATGTTTAAAGTGCAACGGCAAATTATAGTTGCGCTTTATAGGCTAACAATTTTGTTTGATCTGTGAGCTTTTATGCTTCAAAATGTGCTCCCTTGGGCACTGGAGTGCAAATAAAAGAGTGAGGTAGCCCCATAGCCAGGTGAGAATAGAAATAACAAAGTGGGAATTAACACAGGAATCAAGCAATTAATTACTTCAGTTTGGCGGGTCACAGGCAGGGCAAAAGCTGTAGGCCAGGCCTATCAAAATTAAGCAGTTTATGACTTGATACTCCCACTTCTGTGTTTATGAGCCATTTGATTTATTATCTTTATCCCTACCTATATATTTTGTTTATTTATGTAAAATGAGGAGAGACTCTGATTGATCTTACGTGTCAAGTGACATACAGATGCTCTATGCATCTACCTCACTAGAATTTACATCAAGGAGCTATCAATGCGAACATCAGCAGATGGCAAAGCAATCAATGGGAGACTTCTGAAAACTCCTAGAATTGTTTTTAGTGCATCGTAAAATGATAAAGTGGCTGATGTCCTGTGGCTTAATACCCTGTTTCCCCAAAAATAAGACCTAATCTGAAAATAAGCCCTAGTACAGGATGCTGGTAATATAAGCCCTACCCCAAAAATAAGCTCCAGTGCAGTGAAACCCCATCCTCCACCCTTGTGCAGCAACTAGAAGAAAATGACATGGCTATATTTGAATAAATGTAGATTGTTGTACATGAAAAAAATAAAACATCCCCTGAAAATAAGCCCTAATGTGTTTTTGGAGCAAAAATTAATATAAGACCCTGTCTTATTTTTGGGGAAACATGGTATAACAAAGTGCACTAGAGTGGGACAATTAAATCAGTGGGGTGAGTCAACTCCTCCGTAAGTTTCATTGATTAAAACTGGCCTACTCTAGTCCTGACTCACTATGCAAAAGCAACAAGAATTGAGCTACTGTCAGAAAAAGTGGGTTTTGATCCTAAAGCTCACAAAGAAACCAATTTGCTCAGCCTTTGAACTTCCATAATATTTGGTCCTTGATTATATTTCTCCTTTTCCTCTTTTCTTTTAATTTTACCAACTTTCTCAAATGTATGGATTTTTGCATGATTTTTTTTTGAAACCTGTAGAAATATTGATGGTAGCCTCTAACTGGAAAGTTGTGTGGTACCCTAAAGGCTGCAAGTTTTATTTGGTTGTAAGATTGAATCCACGCTGCGGAGTGAGCTCCCGTTGATTTGTCCCAGCTCCTCGCCAACCTAGCAGTTTGAAAGCATGCAAATGCGAGTAGATAGATAGGTACCACCTCAGTGGGAAGGTTAACAGCGTTCCATGTATAGCCGCGCTGGCCACGTGACAATGGAAACTGTCTTCGGACAAACACTGGCTCTACGGCTTGGAAACGGGGATGAGCACCGCCCCCTAGAGTCAGACACGACTGACTAAATGTCAAGGGGAACCTTTACTTACTTACTTCATGCATGGTGATCTGTTTCTTAGGATACGGGGAAATAGTTCTGAAGAAGTGGGCTACAGTTCACAAAAGCTTGCGTTAAATAAAACTGCTGGCCTTTGAAGAGCCACAGAACTACTTTGATGCCATATTTGAGTCTATAATTTGCTTCGACAGACTAACCTGGTTACACCCTTCTCGTAATGCAGTGGTGTCTTTGGTTCCCAAATGAAGCCATTTTCTCATTAATTCCTATGGATAGCGAAAAGTTGAAAAGGAAACTGAAAGAAGCAGCTGGGAAGCAGAGGAAAAAATATCCTGAAGTCTAGACTGGTGTAAACATATATATTATACATAAGCCAAGCGAATACATCCCTCCTGGGGAAGGCCCATTGAAACTAACAGGAGGTTATGCCCAACCGTAGCAACGTCCCAGTAGAGCCCCATTTCACTCCACCAGTGCATGTTTTGAAGACTACCTCATCAGATCGTACCCTTGGGCTGTTCAAGATGAGTATTAGTTTATTGACTGCAGAGACTTACAGGGTTCTGGCTTTTAGCTGTTTTGCATTAAACTCCCCGACAATAAGCCCCTCTCCACCTGTTTCCAACAGGGGAAACACTGTATACTCGACGTCTCGGGAAACGCCATCAAGCGACTACAAGCGGCGCAGCTCTACCCCATTGCTATGTTCATTAAGCCTAAATCATGGGAGCCATTGATGTGAGTACTGTTTCTTTTGTTTTTTTGAGAGCCTTTCGTAAAAGCAGGGGGCATTATTTTGTGCCTCCCTGAATTCAGGTCTCCTCGTAACAGGATTCGGTTATTTTTGCACATACTGTATTTTCGTCAATTGTTCCCTTGTGCAATTCTGCTTTGGACATCAGTGACAACGTGCAAACAGGGAAGGGGTGGTCACGTGTCCCTTATTGCCCCTTCACAGCCTCTTTTGTGCTCACCCCCAGTCCCTACTTCATACTGGGCACTGGAAATCTCCTGGAAGTGCAATTCTGCTTCTAAACCACGTGAACAGGGAGTGCACACCTTGTTTTAAAAGTTTAGAACCTGCACTGGAAATCTCCTGGAAGTGCAATTCTGCGTGTAAACAAGGCGAACAGGGAGGGCACACCTTGTTTTAAAAGTTTAAAACCTGCATGGTTTTTTTTTTAATTTGCTCATTTCGTTTTTTGTTTGTTTGTTTGTTTTTTTGTAATTTGCTCATTTCACTGCTGTTTCTTCCACAGCAGCAAATTTGACCATTCTGGTTTGTGGGGGTGGTGTTTTACTGTCCCCAGTGGGCTCATTGGGCTGCTGCTGGGTTCATTGAGGTACTCCACACTCTGATTCTAAGAAGTGGTGTTAATGTGTCTTTCCTGTATTTCTAATAGATACTGGGAGTGGGGTGCATAAATACAATCAAGACCACGCTCTGTAGGGAATTAGTTGACTCCTTGAACCCATGCGACTGTCCCAAATAAAAATTAGCTCCTGGGTTGTGTTTCTTTCCTCCCACCCAAAAATAATGCTGGTCACCTAAAAAGAGAGAAACCACCATTGTTTTAAAAGTTGATTGTGGAGGCTTCCATATCAGCATAAGTAGAAGAATCAGATAAAAAATTTCGTGGATAAGCCTGTTCTGAGTGAAAAACTAAAAATGAACAAGTTAAATGCATACATTGAACCTGGGTGAGATGGGCACCTGGCTGCAGAGCCACAAGTGGGGAGTTCAATCCCCCACTGTGCCTTCCAGGAGAACAGCCAGCCTGGGTAGCCTTGGGCAAGCTGCACAGTCCCAAGGTTGCCCCCAGAAGAAGGGAAGAGGAAGCCACTTTTGAGTAGGAGCAGAAAAGCCTGGGAATGGCCAGGTGTCCTAAGTCATAATCAACATGATGTCATGTAAATAGTATCATTATTAATTTAGTAGGTTTTCTTGTCTGAGCTACACATGTATGAATACAGAAGGCGAGGAACACTTCCTGTATTTGTATTCATCATTAGTCTCAAAACGTCGTCCACACATGGACAAAGCAAGACGCGTCTATGCAGCCTAGCAAAGGGTGTCTTTCCCCATTGTTGAATGAGGTTGACATCTCTGGAGGAATATTTTGCCTTGTTTGGCACAGCATTAATAAAGGTGTGGAAATAGTGGTAAATCCATAGCATGGATCCAACAGTATTAAACACAATGAGAACCACACATGGACGACTTCGAGGTGAGGTAGCACAATGAATGCAAGAGTCATTGATCAGATTTGAACTGCATCTTCTGAACCCAGCTTAGCTCTGCTCATATGACAGTCATGGACAGATCGTAAAACTGGAGCTTTTTAGGGACATTTAAAACCCTGAAAAGGGTCACCATAAATCAGAACTGATTGACAGCACATGATTATTATTATTATTATCAGCAGCCAATCCATTGCTATGCATACTTCCAATCTACCTTGCAGGGCGTTAGTTATATAGGTAAGAACCCAAATATTCTCCACAGATTTTAAGATCTCTGGAAGAGGGTTTTATTGTGGCCATACCATCCACACGAAGGGGCAGAGGAACTAGAGACCAAATTGCTAAAATGCGCTGGATTATGGAGAAAGCCAGAGAGTTCCGGAAAAACATATACTTCTGCTTCATTGACTATGCAAAAGCCTTTGACTATGTGGACCACAGCAAACTATGGCAAATTCTTAAAGAAATGGGAGTCCCTGGTCACCTTATCTACCTCCTGAGAAACCTGTATGTGGAACAGGAAGCAACAGTTAGAACTGGATACAGAAACAATGATTGGTTCAAAATTGGGACAGGAGTACAACAAGGCTATATATTGTCCCCCGGCTTATTTAACTTATATGCAGAATACATCATGCAAGAGGCAGGACTGGAGGAATCCCAAAG